AGTTTAGTTTTGGGTTCTTGGAGCTTCCTAGTATTGTCTTACGTTTCAAGAGATATGGTTTTCATCCTAACTAGATTTATTTCCAACCTAAGACAACTATATGAAATGGGTGGGTTGTTATATGTATTTTAACACTTGCTTATTGTAGTTCATTTAATGAAAATGAGTAAATTCAATTCTTGTATGAATTGGTAATTATTAATTGCCAGATTGTGATTTATTTGAAGTTTGGATAATTGGGTATGTAGAAATCAATTAATGTAATTTCTTGAGTTATGTGATGAATTTGAGCATTTTATGTGATTACATGATTTGGTATCTTGAAGGTGTTTGATTAAATACTTATGTGAAGTAAAGTGTATTAATTATATGAGATTATGTCAAAACATGTTTGAAAATTGTTATTGGATAAAAATGTTGATATAAACTTGATGATGTATTGGCATTGTGATGATTTATGAAAATTATATACTTTGGATATAATTGTCCATAGAATGTGTTGAAATATGGTTGAAATAGTCCATATGACATTCATTACATATTGTATATGATATTGATATTGTAATAGTTCATTACATTACATATGTACAAAGACGTCGCATTTGGTGGGTGTGTGTGCATGGTTTGATCAAATACTATTCTTGGTGGTTGATAAGTGAACTCGGGAAGGTTGGACTTAGGTCCGACTGAGTTACATGGTTGCATGAAAAACTTGTGTCGGGTATAGCAGGCAGGGCTAAATTCTCCCTTGGGTGTAAGGCCCGATTACTTGGTTTATACACTTTTCGGCAGTGCAATTCCAAAAAAATGTATCGGTGTGCGGAANCCGATTACTTGGTTTATACACTTTTCGGCAGTGCAATTCCAAAAAAATGTATCAGTGTGCGGAACCGCCGGTGAGACACCAAAACTCCGCTACCCAACAAAGACACATAATTTTGTTTTATAACAAGATGAAAAGAGCCATTGGATGTGCAACATCAATGAAAAGGGCTTGGAATACCCGATTTTACACTTATGACATTGCACAGGTGATGAGAATCGGTAAGGGCTCGGATGGAGTTGCATGAGTGAGTTTTATCTCATTTCATGGTATTACATGGTGGATTTTAATATTGAATTGCATATTCTAGATTGGAATGATAGTTACTTGTTGAATGTTGCATGTGAACATTTCTAATGCACTTAGATTGGGGAGTAACCTCTTTAGGAGATACTCTATTGAGCAGAGCTCACCCTTTATGGGGAAACATTTTAGGTGCGGGTTATACACTGGTGGACAGCTCGTATTCAGAACCTCAAGAATGAAGAAAAGCCGACTTGTGGCTTTTAAACCAACTTTTGTAAAACATTTGCTAAATTTGATTTTGGGCATGTAAATCTATGGAAACGAATTATAATCGAACTCATATGAATTATTTTTAATACAAAATTGCATGTTGTTATATGAGTATGAATAAATGGACCTGGTGTGATCAATGTTGTATGATTTCACATGTTATGTTTTGGGTAGAGCTCCCCGTACAAAGGAGACTTTGTTCGAATTTCTTTAAATTATGGATCCCAATAAATGGAGCATAATGGCGTGATATCAAGTTACACAGTATCTACGGGTATTTTGCGGGTTGATGGGTTGATCAATGGGTTAACAAAGGACCCCCGATTTTTAGGGCGTCATGGCTTGATATTAGAGCTTAGGTTTACGATTTACCTAGGGCTTGCAGGGCATGAATTTAGACCATTGCATCCATTGTGTATTACATGTTTTGTGCTTTAAATGCTATATGTTATGTGTTATATATTATGTGAAGAATATGGATGATGAAATGTATGTGAAAAAGAGACACTAGGGTTAGAGAACATAACCTTGGGGTCAGAAAAAGAATGAATGGGATGGTTCAAGATGTAGATGTCTACTAGTTGATGGCACATGCTCTACTAGTAAGACAAAGAGAGAAATCTCAATGTTTGAACTTGATCCCTATCTTGGGATACTAAGTAAGTCCTCTGTAGCTATTTGACATGTGTGAGAGATTTGGGCTTAGAGGTTGAGACCTTGGAAGAGCCATTGCATGTGAGTTCTCCCCTAGGGCCTAGGGTGAGTATTGATCATATATGTCAGGATTGTGAGCTAGAGATGTCAAAAATTCTACTCACCATGGACCTTAGGGTCATGAACATGTTGGAATTTGATGTCATCCTTGGGATGGATTGGTTGACGACAAGCATCGCATGACCAAGTACTACAACTCGTGGGTGAAGTCTTGCTTCTTCTTGCCTAGAGATCTAGTCCTAAAAAAGGTTATCCTATGTACCATGGACTTTTGAGAAAGGAAGCTAGGCCCAAACTGGAAGGGACCTTACACAGTCACGGAAGTGGTAAGATCGACCACCTTTAGAACTCTGAAGGGAAAGTCTTGGTTCATCCATGGAGCGCAGAACACCTGAAGAGATATTACCAATAACTGGGGGCAAGATTGTGGGTGGACAAGGTAGTAGTCACCATTTAAATTATTTCTTGTTGTTTTAGTCAATTTTCATTGTTATTTACTTCAGATTATGAAATACAATTTATGTCATTCCATAAGGCTCATAAACTATTTACAAAAGATAGAACATGGCCTAACAATAAAAACACGAAGATAAAAATACCATACTCCTAACATCGATCATTGCTCCCAGATCTGCTCCTATCTAAGCTCCTCTCCTCGTCATCAATCCTTGATGCCTCATAGGGGACGAAGCCAGAAAAGTCATAGGCAGGAAAAGCTACTGAGACCTTCCCCTTAAGCACCTCATAACCATTGATAAAGGCACCTGCCACAGCCCTCTTAGCGGTATCTTTCTTCTTCTCCATCTCAATAGAGCGAGCCTCTGCCACGACAACCCTCTCCTGAGCTACGCAAAGCTCGGCCTCTGCTCCACGGCCTTCTCACGGGATGCTTGCAGCTCTGTCTATGCTCTTTCACAGGCAACTTCTCTATCAGCCTCTAGCTAGGTGGCTCTCTCACGGCACGCCAAAAGCTCGGTCTCAAGTGGGGCAGCTCTCTCAGGTGCTAGTCTTAACTGCTCCTCGACAGCCTCTCGCACCTATCTCTCGAGCCCCAACTGTTCCTCAATAGACCTTCGTGCCTACCTCTCTGCTGCTTGACCAATGGGTGCCTCTCTAAGCTTCATCGTACTTGAAAATAAGTAGAAAAAAGCAGCAGTTACCTATATGCATCCAAAAGGAAGAACATGAAAGAAAGCAGCCAGGTACAAGACCAAAGATGAGTAAAAGGTATACCATAGCAAAACCCTCTATAATAGTATCAATGATGCCCTCTAGACCTCGAGAGCCGACCTTTTGAATCTTAGCAGTGGTCACAAACCCCCAAAGTCGCTCCTTGACCAAATTCATATCCTGCAACATGGATACTAAACCACAACTAGAGACAGGGCGGCTAAGCGGAGCTCCAGTCCTCATAGGAGACCACACTAGAACCTCAATTCCTACAGCTATACTGGTGCTATCCCTAGAATATGATGGAGTCATAGTTGGGGGAGGAGTGGGGGCATCACCGGGTCTCGCCTCTTGGGTACTAACTTGGCCAGCAGACATTGACTGAGAAGCACAAGGGGCATCAGACTTTGCCCTCTTAGAGGAAGGAGGGGAAGATGCCACACTGGAAGCATAATGAGCCTCTACCATCGCTCTATCAATAGAGGTGCCTACGGAGTTGGTGTGAGACAAAAAGCTTACAACGTCGTAACCATGAAGAGTCTATTGGAAGGACTAGATACCTTTCCTGTTCGGCCTAGGGGAGACTTTGGGACGACCCAATGCGAACATAATCTTTGAAAACTCCTTGAAATGATGGTAATGCCCTAGCTGGAGTCTACTCTCCTACTCCGTAGATAATGTAGGTGGAGCTACAAAGGAACCAATCACACAATAAGTAAAAATACCTAACGACTAGATGTAAAAGCAAAAGTAAAAGTAAAATTCTTACCTAGCTTGGTCCTCAAAACCGTGTGCCACCTTGAAGCCACCAAGTCATGGTCTCCCTCAATGGCCCCCTTGTCTCCAACAAAGAATAACCTAGACTTCCAGCTATGATAATTCGAGGGTAGTATAGTGATAAGTTTGCCCGTCCTCGTGGCAAAACGAAAACACCCTTGATGAGGAGTAGGGTTCTCCTAAAGCACGTGCGAAGTCAAAAACTCCTCGAAAGGGGGAGGAATATTAGCACTGTGAACTAGCTGCCATAATAAGAAGAATGTCAGGATCACGCTTCACCCATTTGGAGTCAACCTCCTTGGAGCCAGTGATAAGTATCCCAGGATCTGACATATGGGCCCAGGTATCGGGAACCTCAACCCTGCATCCAGGACGTCCTCGTAGAGGACGATCTCTCTAAATGAGTCATGACAGGCCGGCTCGTCCCCTTCGACCCGACGATATAAGACAGTAAGATGAATACAAAACGAGGAAACAATGACGGCAATGTCATCGTCACAATCTATAGAACTAAAAATAGAGAGTATCTTCGAACTGTCGTCCTTAGTGATCCCTCTGCCTCACTTAGAGCCTCGTGTAACAACCTTCGTTATGTCCTTGTCAGAGTGGGTGCCTGCCAACAAATGGAACCAAGATAGAATCAAAGTCAATTTCAAGGAAATACCAGCATTAAAGTATGGCGAGCTGAGTCCTCGCATAGTCGGAAATACAAAAAGTAGACACATGCAAAATCTATTTTTGCGATTAAAGTTCAATTTCTGTGAGAATGAAGCATTTTTTTAGAGAAAATCGGTGCACCAACTGCATAATAGTTGGACATCATAGATCTAAAAAAAATACTCAGATTCAAAAACAAAATTCACCTCAAACGAACACCTGAGTGCAAAGTTATGACCGTTCAAAGTTTTGTTGTGCCAACGCTCGTGCCAAGTGCCTCAGGCATCACCCAGTTGCCCGAGGGCGTCGCCCAGCTGCCAAGGGGTATTGCCCAATCGGGCCACTAGCCACTGGCATAGCCCAGTGCCTGGGTCGACGCGTTGTCGCTCCTGCCTCCCCCAAAATCGCAACCTATCTCGCAAAGGGACCTACCAGTAATGGCGTTGCCACCATATTCGTAACCATGGATACTTGCAACATGGGCATTGCTTGTCAGCTCTCCGCAAAGACCTAACACTCTTCTCCAAGCGTTGTCATCCTCCCTGGTCCCGCCTCCCTCATGGGCGCCATCTCAATGGACTCCTCGCCTCGATGCATCACCTGTACCTCTTACGACTGAGGCGCCTTCGCCTAACTCAATTATTCCACCCCCCAACTCAACTACTCCACCCATGTGGGCGTCGTCGTCATCCTTTAGGGAGTCCAAGCCACTGTCGGCGCCACCTGGTTTCCCATCTGTTGCGCCTCTAACACCCCAACAGCCTGGAGCATTGCCTACGAAATTGGCGCCTTCTGCAACGACTTTCTTTGCACTATGGGCGTCACCCAGGCCAAATCCACTGCTTCTCATTGCTTTCCTTACGCCTTCCAGCGTGTTGGTGCTGCCCAGCAACTCGTTGGCGTCGCCCAACCCCTGGGCCATGATCCTGTCATCATCCGTGTTCATCGTCTGTCCTTTGCGATTGCTGCCTGAGATCCGAGGCTTTTTTTTCCTTCTCCTTCATTGAGATTTTCCACGTAGATCCACCAAAGATACCTCTCTTCATCTTCTCCCTTGTCCTCATACTCATCTCCTGCAAGTTTGCCTAATGATTTGTAGAATGTGAAGGGGGAAAATAGTGAATTTAAGCCCTAGTTCTAAAGAGGGATATGATGGGTTTTGGCAAGAAATGCCCTTTAAATCCAAAAGGCAAGTACTTGAGTAAAAGAGGAGACCTTGCTGTCAAGTTTACCAAGCTATTGAAATATAGTCATTGGAACAATGGTTTTTCAACCACGATGATTATCAAACCAAGAAAAGGAGCTCTACAGTTGAAGAATGGAAAAAGGATGAGCTGTGGGACGCAAGAAACCCTTAGCTATTTAGAGGCTCACTCTTGTCCCCAATACCTTTTTTGTAATCAAGGCTTGGGGCATGGGGCGCAAATGATGAGCCTGAATTCGACTAAGTCAGGCCCAAGTAATTAAGTAAGCCCAAATTAGCTGCATGGCAAGTCAAGTCCAATTCATGAATTTGGCTCACACCAAAGTTCAAGGAGTCCAAGAACATTAGTACACATGGAGAGCAATTATCGGGATTGCCACTCTCGAAAATCAAGGATATCTTTAATTGTACCTATACTTAGTTGTAGCNTTCATGAATTCGGCTCACACCAAAGTTCAAGGAGTCCAAGAACATTAGTACACATGGAGAGCAATTATCGGGATTGCCACTCTCGAAAATCAAGGATATCTTTAATTGTACCTATACTTAGTTGTAGCTATCCTCCCTAAAGAACTAGTATATTTACCCTCACATCACCGCCTTAACCAAGGCTCTCTGCCTATAAATTGTAAGCTCTCTCTATACACCCCTCACATTGTTATTTCTCTCTCTTAGCTACCATACCTCTCCCAGAAATTACATTTGCTCTCTCTCTCACCTACTACTTCATCAATAAAGACCACTGGCCACCTTTGCCGTCTTCAAAATGGAGTAGGTCACCGTGAACGAACCTCTATACATTTGTGTGTTGACTATGTTGATTTCACCTTATATTTATTGAATTTATTACCTACATTAATTACTCGACAGGTAGTGCATAAATCCACATTATCAGGAGTCTTTGACATTAGGTAATTTACCTAGGTTAATGCATGTATGGAGGATCGTTCCCAAAAATCTTTGAGGTTTTCAGAATTTGGCAATCTTTAATATATTGCAGTGTGACATTTTGAGAAATCTATTGTCACCTACTATGGCAAAATTGCTTGGGAATCTACAAATCCAACTTGTTTGCCGGTGTAAGATGATGGAAGAAATTATTGACATGGAAGAAGATCTTTCCAAGATCAAGATTTTAGACGAGATAGTTACTACACAGGAAGAAGAATAAATGACGGGACAAAATTTTGTAACCACAATTGAAAGAGATATGGCTTGAAAATCTAGAAAACCTTAATTGCTTTTGCTCTGGAAACTGTGAATTTCAATTTTTGTCATTGAATCAATTGAAAATCAGTGGCTGTCCAAACATGAAGACTTTCTGCTCTGGACCACTGAGCACAGGAAGGCTTGGAGAAGGAAATATACCCATTGGCGGACAGGGATTTTGGATGAGTGATCTTAACACAACCATACAAAATGCAAGCGAACTGTATGTCTTTATTCTTTTCAATTTCTTCCTTTTATTTCTCACTTCCCCCTGAAAAATTAAAGAAAATAGTTATCTATGCGTTATTGCCAATTTCATTCAAGGCTAAACTATTTCTCTGCTTTAAGTCGTCACTTTCCTTCTTGTCATCTAGCCTCAACGATGAATCAGAAGAAGAATGATGATATTTGACGATGACAACGACAACGATGATGATGAAGCAGCAGAAGATGATGATGATGATGATGTCAAGCAAATGGAAGGAGAGATGATGAGGATGCTGAGGATGGAACAAATGAGCTTTCTTTAACAATAAGAAAGAGTGTGTTTGCTTTGATGTTCTCTCTCTCTCTCTCTCTCACACACACACACACGATTGTAGATCAGTAGCTGAATGATATACAATTTAATTATGTAACTTTTGTTTGAAAAATGCCAAGATTTGACAAGAAGAGAAGACCTTATTGTTGCCATAGATTGAAGTTTAATACATATTTTCATTGTATTGGAAATGATAAGTTAGTCTATGCTAAATTAGGTTTCCTGGTAAAACATAAGTTTTGCATTCTTGATTTTGTGGGGGAAAACACAACTTTTGTTTTTGCAGATGAACTATAGCAATGACAACAAGAAGTTTCCTTTCCTCATGGAACTTATTTTGGTGTTCTACTGGAGGTTCTATTTGTGAGGTGGGTCTCAGCGTAGTGGCAAAGGTTATTCTATTATCAACGAGGCATCCAAGTTTCGAGACAAAAATGTACGTGCTTAAAGCTAGACTCCACAGTTACGAGAGTCTCTTGTATTAAGCCGCCCTTCTTTATTGTGCCATTCTTTTAGCTTCTCTTATCTCATATCTGACTACTCTTTCATCTCATTTTAATGCATTTTTATTATTATAATAGTAGATTGTAGTTGATTATAATTGTGATAATACGATTTATTTATCTAAAAAAGAACAGAGTACTCTCAAACCCTTTCAGAAGCAGCTCTTTGCTAGCAAGTAAACTATTTCAAAAATCAAAATTTAGGTACCTGTTAGACTGATTCTAGGATTTAGGCCTTGTAAGAGCTAGCACTAACTTTTCAACACCTAAAATTTTGTAATGGTTTAAAATTTTCACTTGGTTTACAGAACAGTCAATCATGTTTTAATACCACAACACATTTACGGAGATCATTTATTTTTAACAGTAAAAATTATAATTAGGCAGAATAGTTGGAGTGGAGCATAGTAAAATAACTATGTCGTTAACTTGGGTTAAATTTGAGTGGTTCCTTGCAAGATTATACAGCCCAAAGGAATCAAAAACAAAGGGAATTTTTTTTGTATTATAATCGAATCAATTTTAATACATATATACATCCCATTACAAAAAAATAAAAATAAAAATTGAATCGAAATAGATTCTTGGACTTTTTTATTATTCGCAAATTCAAACATGAATTTTGTACAAGATGCTAGTCATATAATGGATGTTGTACATGAATTTAAATTGGCATATACCGTTAACACATTAAAATAAGATCCATTAAAATCTTGATGGAATCTAATTCATTGATAAGTCTAATCTTTATATACGATGAAAAAGAAAAAAAAACTGGTCAATTAAAATATCTTCTATTCAAATTTGATGTATTGAAAAATCTTAGATCATCATGTACACTAGAAAGGAAACAAACAAACAAACAAGTTATTTTCTGCATAATTACACCAAAAAAGCCTAATCGTTGTGAAGTCTTGTAATTTTGTCTACAACAATATGAACGCAAAAGAGGAAGTCAACATATGAAAGATAGTCGTGCAAAAGGAGGGACCGCTGGCTCTTTCAAGCAGGAGAATAAAGCATAATCATATTAAAACACATCATCGTAGGTGGGGGTACAACTCAAATACTTTTTATTTTAATATTAAATAAGAAGTTGCCTTAAAGTATGCATTATTGGTGAGAAAAAGCAGCATGTGAATAGATGAATTGGCTTGTTTAATTCATCAGGCCTTCGTCTTTTGTCAAGGCCATGTGAATATTATTTTCAATTCAAAGTTAGAACTAGGGAATTATGTTTTTTTTCTGAAAAAAAAAAGAAGCAACTTGCAAGAAATTGGTGTATTATAATACAGGCATTATTGGTTAAACAATCGAATGGAAAACACACAACAGCATACTATTATCTATAATACATACTATTTCTTAGGAAGAGAGTTTGAGAAATCTTTCCTCTTTAATTTTAATTTTATAAAATTTTGAATTATTTAATTAAATTTCAAAAGTTTCTTGGAATCATATTTTGACATGTGTAACGTATAACTATCCTACCCATCTCTTTCACCACTAACCACCCACCATCTATTTAAACTTTTAATACTTTTTTATCTGACTTTTGAAGTGTAAAGTCATTTGTCTTCAGCAAAGGCCAAGGGAATCTTTTTGATTTAACGTAACATGGAACTATTCTGCTTAAACAAAGAATTGCAACTTGCAAGAATTCGACTTTAAGATATGCCTAAACAATGGGTGTGGGGTACTAATTTATGCGGACTTCTGGGCAACTAGATAGGTAGATGATCACGATAATTGTTGAGCAAATATCCTGTTTACTCTCTTGAAGGCATACTACTACCCACTTATATATCCTTCTCAATCGTCAATCGCCGGTGAATATACTTCTCTCTATATTGTTGCTGCTGTCTACCTCTTACTGCTGAAATTTTTTTGGTCTGCAACTCCTTTTTGTGCTACCAGGTGAGCCCAAAATGCTTTTATTTAATCCCCCTTCCCTTGGAAGAGTTTTTGCTCAAATATGTTTGTTTGTAGAAATAAGTTGAATCAATCTTGGATAAGAACAATTATAATTTGCGGACTATAAAGATTTGAGTAGGCACTTTGACTGCTTATAAGACTGGAGATATTGAGATGATTTGCTAATCTGGGTGACAAAACTCAATGAAACTAGCCAAGATACATTAAAGAAGTTTATTAATAACTGTAAATTAGACTCTCATTTCTGTTATATTGTGATTTTGCAATGGATACAACTCTCTCAATATCTTTTCAGTTGATCTGTTTTATATCTGCTGTCAATCTTTGCTCAACTCTCTCAGAAAGTTTATCTGGGCTGCGCACATTTTTTTAATTCAAGAGTTGTCAAGTCTTCCTTCTCTTCAAAACATCTTCTGCCTTGACTCTGTTATCTTTTCAATTTGAGTCCAATCTATTGTTCTTATTATTTGCTTTTTGCTTTTCTTTGTTGAACGTTTATTCAAAAAAAAGAAAAAACCATAAATGGCAGAGGTAATTGGGTTCTCTATTTTGGT